TCCCCACGGCCCCAGAGTGATGGGCAGGGCAGGAGGGCAGGAGGGGCTTGATCCTGCCCAGCAGAGGGAAGGTGAGAGTGGGGTGCTGCACCCGGATCTGTCCCCTTCCTTCATCCCAAGGTGGCACCCCCGGTACTGCCGCTCGCTGAGGGACCGGGCTTGATGGGGCCATCAAGCCCGACACAATCCCCAGGCCCTGGGGCACTTCACCAGCTCAGGCTTCACCCCGAGCTCCTGGGGACAGCAGAGCCCCCAGACCACAGTGAAGGGCACTACGCGGGGTCAGCAGCACCAGGCTCTGCGTGTCCCCATCCTCTTGTGCCCTGTGGCACCTGCACCACAGGGATGTCCCCCCCCACCATGAGGGAGGTGAGCAGCCCCCTCCACGCAGCCCATCCCCGGGATGCTCCCCGAACACAGCCAGCCATGTGCCCCCCGCAGCCCCCCGCAGCCCCCCGGCTGCCTCAGCTCCCCGCGCCGCGCTGGCCCCGCACAGTCCTGCTATTGCTGCCTGCCAACCTACTGAAGCAGGCAGCCAGGATCGTGGTGGGGTTTCCACACCCCTGGTGACCTGTCATTCGGTCCCTGCTGGGTTCTGGTCCTCAACAGGCTATTTCGGGAAATCCAATTGGAAGGGCAGAAGGAGCACAAGCCACGTGTTCAGCTCCTGAGCGGGATCCAGGCTCCTCATGTCACTGCTCACATCCAGATTTTAGGTTTGTCTGTGATGGCAGGAAGGGCCAGGAGTCACCTTTGGCTCCCGATCCAAATTTCTGGCTGGGTGGGATCCAGCGTTTAGGATCAGCTTGTTGGAGAAACACCAGCAACTGCAAAACCTGGATCTGGAGCCACAGCAGCATCACCCAGGCATGAGCCCCCAGCGTGGAGCCAGATGCTGCCCTCGCAGGTGGGCAAGCAAATGGAGATCCCTGCACCAGAGCAGCCACCAGCTCTGGGGCTCCTGTGGGGGTGCTGTGTCCTGCAGGCCCTGGCACAGCTCTACCCTGAGCTCACCATGGGGAGGATGAAGGAAAGGTCCCCCTAGGGACCCTCAGCCTGGGCTCCCCACCACCCTCGGCTCCCTTCCCACACTCTGCCTGGGCTGCTGGAGAGGAAGGTTTGAGCACCAAGGACTCAGCACCAACTCGTCCAGACTGGATGGGCACACCATGGTTGTGTCACCTGACTCCAGCAGCAGAGATGTCCAGAGCTGGTCCAGGCTCAGTGGGGTAACAACACTGAAGGCAGCCCCAAAACTGTGGCTCCTGCCTGCCCCACGCTGCCCTCACAGCCACGTGCTCCCTCCAGTCTGATGGCTCTTTTTTCCCCTCTTGGCCCTGCCGACTCTTGAATAATGCTTGGAAAGGGCTGACAAGCCCCCTCCCTGCCTCCTGAGCGTGGCCACCTCCCAGCGGCCATCGCCCCACTCCATCCCCAGCAGATGGGGTCCTCAAGGGCTGGGAGCTGTGGGAGGACACTGAGGAGGAGAGGAACCAAGACAGATGGGAACTCACATCCGTTCCCTAAAGGACAATCTGTGGTGCCGGCCGGATCCTGCTCTGATTTACACCAAGGGAAGCCACCAGCTGCCAGCCCAGACTCCCCAGAGGAGCAGCCAGCACCCAACAGGCTGGCTCTGTGCCCTCCTGCCTGGCCCAGGGGGCAGGCAGGAACCTGCCTTGGGC